GACGTGCTCCACCTCCTGAGCTAAAGAATAGGCTTGTGGATGTAGTGAAAAAGGACACGTGGAGGGTTGTTGTGGCAGAGAGGATGCAAGGGATACCAGATGGAGGCAGATAAAATACTTTGGCCATTGCGGCAAACCTTAAACAGACTAGCCAAAAGAAGAAGGAGTCAATAGTAGCAGTGGGTGAGTGTATGTCTTGTTCAGGAGTCTGATTGCTTGTGGAAGAATATTCTGGGGTCTTTTAGTCCTGGATTAAAAGGACTCTTTTAACTTCTGCTCAAGAGAAGAAGCATAAACAGACTGTGTTATGGGTGTGTATTGTCCTTAATGTTGTTGTGGGTTCTCCTAACAACCCTTGTGGCTTAGCTGTCCTGTACTGATGAGAAGGCTGCTCAAGTGATATATTGGAGCTTTTGAACAGTCCAGCTTCCATGCCACACTGTGACTGAGGACCTGAAGACACTCTAACACTAACTGTAGAAGCTGCTGAGGATTGTAGTTGACATGCCAAATGTCCTCCGTCATCTCAAGTCTTTCCTCAAGTACAGTCTTTGTCGTGTTTTCTTGAGTAACCTTTAGGTGTTATGAGATCAGGTGAGATCCTCACTGATGTGTTTCCAAATAAATTAAAGGTTTTCAACCTCTCTACCTGGGTACACCAATGTATATTGGAGTTATATTGAGGTCTTATCATGACCTGTTGCTCCAAAAGTCAAAAAAGATGCTTTAAAACTACATTGTAATTTACATTTATTAATGTTTTAAAGACTGCTAATGATTTAAAATTGAAGTTAATACATTTATCTTCTATTCCTCAGAGGCCGGAACCACTGATCGCCTACAATAATCTCCGCTTTGGATGGCTAGATGTCCTACTTTTTATGGAACTAAACAGGATTTTATCTCTCGTCCCTTTGTCTCACACACCTGGACTGTGTCCCACATTTCGTAAAAATGAACATGTCAGGAATGCGTGGCTCACAAACTACTGATATGCTCATCTATGAATAGCTCACTGATGAGATCCAGAAAAATGAAGAGACAGAAAGCAGTTAAAATAACAGTCCTTCTGAGAGAAAGGGGAAATACATAAAGAGACACAAAGACCATTGAGCCATAAGAACAAACTTTAGCTTCCATTGAGTAAGTAAAATTGTATTTATACAGCACTTCTTAAAATGAGAACAGCCACAAATTGCTTTAGATTCAGTAAGAAACAATCAATATTATAACAATGACACAAGATGCATATAAGCAACCAAAATGAACATAAAACACAAAGCACGACCCAAATATCGTCACAATCACTTCGTTTTCTGACAGGTATGCAGAATCATAAGAAGGCCCTGATCTGTGGCCCTAAAAACCTGACTTGTAATGTAGGATGTGAAGCAATTCAATCATGTAAGTGGGGGCTTCACCCTCTAAGGCTGTAAGAGTAAAATGCAAACATTATAAATGAAATCTAAGCATGACAGGTAGCTGTTGCAAAACTTTAACAGCAGACTGTACTGTCATTTTGAGAAGTGGTCTTTCATCATAGTTCTCCAGACCTTTGAAGGTTTTCAAAGTTTTTCTTTGGACATTGGCTGCTTGTTCTGTCCTTGGTCCAGTCGTTGTACCTGACCATTTGTATCTACCCAAAGAGATGAACCAGTGTCGTGTCCACACATAACAACAAAAAGCT